AGGGGGTGGGCTGATTTGGGTAGGGGGAGAATGGGTTTGGGTTTGGGTAAGTTGGGCTGGGTGTTGGGTAAAAGGGGTTGGATGAATATGGGTTGGGTGAATATGGGCTTGGGCTAGGGGGTGGGGGGTGTTGGGCCGTGGCCCAAGTAACCCTGGGTTAGGGGAGGGGACTGTCCAGGGAGTGTAGCCAGGGGGGTGCCGTGAGGTGCCGCCGCCGCCCCGACCGCGACCGCGACCGCCGCCCCGACCCCTGCCGCGGTTGCCGCCTCCACTGCCACCGCCGGAGCCGCCACCAAATCCGCCGCCAAAGCCGTTGCTACCGCTGCTCCCAGGTCCGCCATAGCTGCCGCCTCGGTCCTGCCGGTGTCCACTGCTCGTGTGTCCGCCGCCGCCGCCGGTGCTGAGGAGGGCAGTGAATGGCGCTCCGGCGCCATATACAGCGTTGGTTTGTTGCTGTTCAACGAGGAGCAAGGCGGACCGAACCTCCAAGAACGTCGAGAGTGGATTTTGATATTGCAAAAACTGAACTTGACCCCGGATGTCGTGAGGGAAGCCTTGAAGAACCTGGAGTACAAGGGCATGTTCGGTGATCGGAGCATCCACATCGTCGAGATACTTGGAGAGATTCTTGAGAAGACGACAATATTCGTTGATGGAGAGGTGGCCCTTCACGGTTGTACGGAAATGGTGCTCCAGTTGCATCGCCCGGGCATGCTTGTTGTCGTGAAAAAGATTGTAAATTGCCATCCATAGTGCATGAGCGGAGAGATTGTTGACGAGCACAAGGTCGGAGACTTCATCCGTGATCGTAGACAGGATCCATCCTTGGATGAGAGCATCAAATTGATACCATTCAGCATCATCCGCGGAGGATGCGATGGTTGTGCCGTCGATGTAGCCTTTGAGGTTGAATCGAAGGATCAAGAGACGAAATAATCAACTCCACTTTTTGTAGTTTGGTTCTGAGAGACTGAGTTGAACAGGAATATGGAGTTTGATGTTGGATATAGTTGTGAAGGCGAGATGGGGGGAGTTGTTGGAAGAGGAGTTATCAGAGGTTGAGATCACCTTGCCGGAGGAGGCGGAGTTGGCGTCGGCCATGACTGCCGAGAGAGAGAGAGGATCGGCGGTAGGGGGGTTGGGGATCTGCCGATCGAGAGAGAGAGAGAGACGGGAGGCCGAGAATTAGGGTTGCTCCGATACCATGAAGAATGAATATTTTCACATAAATTATTATGGGAGAATACATGTGTATATGTACAAAGGTTTCCTAATGATAATAGGAAACAGTATTAAATGCACCCTATACAATTATGGTAGCTACCAATATACATTAATATTAAATATAATAGGAATATATTTAACAGTTTTAAGGTACGATTTGGTTAAAACCGGTTTCAGATTGGGGTTATGGATTACACCAAATGTAAGAGATTCATAGTATTTGATGATGAGGTTGAAAAAATTGTTATCAATATGTCATTTACGTATAATGTCCTGTACAAATATCAAAGAGAATAAAAAATCTATTATTAATAGTTATTGTATTACCTTGGAAAAAGTAGTGCTATATAACCAATGGAGAATAGTTCCTCAATTCAAACAAAAAAGTTATTGAAATTTTTGTGGTAGATGTTACTCCGTATATTCCTATTGTTACAAAGTATTTAACCATGAATTGCTCCATGATGCATATTTTAAAGGAGTTATCCGTCTTGATCGACAAATTTATCTGCCATTTGCATGCATTGTATATTGTATTTCGTGTCAATTACTTATTGCAAAAAATAGCGTGTATAGGTTTTTTCAAAGCAACAATTTTTTTTTGAAGACTTCATTTTAGAACCCCGGAAAAAAAATAATGAGGTTTGAGATTATTAGTTTTATGGCAATAATCATTTAGATTTACTTAGGCCATGTTTTATCCCCCTCCCCCCGAAACCTTGCCTCACTATGAATCGTGTATATAATTTTCTAATACACCTTCCGAAAACATTGAAATATGGTTCCACATCTAAGAACACGCCAATGCACCCAAAAATGATTTACCAAGTAAAAGTGACATACACCAGTCTTTATTGATTTTGACCATATCGAAATGAAGTGGGAGACTAGAAATGAATTTTATAAAACATAATTTTTGCCTTGCACTATCATGGTTACAATGTGTTTTGATTTATTAACTATTGCTTAAACAAATCTAATTTCACATCCCAAAAATTAATTTCCAAACACAACTACAAAGACTAAACACTTGCATACAACCCCAGCCCGTGCGAAGCACGGGGTTGAAAACTAGTTTAGTTGTAAATGGATCTTCAAAAAGAAGATTAAAGTAGACACTACCATAGATAAGTTTAAGGCTGGGTTGGCTATAAAAGGCTTTGGAAAAAAGGAAGGTATCAACTCTTTTGATACATATGCTCCTACTGCAAGAATTTCAGCTATTAGGTTGTTGATTGCCCTAGCGGCTAAACATAACCTTGTTATTCACCAAATGGATGTGAAAACATTATTTTTGAATGGGGAGTTGGAAGAGGATATTTACTTGAAGTAACCTGAAAGATTTTTTTATGAGCATAAAGTGTGTAAGTTAGAAAAATCATTGTACGGTTTAAAGCAAGCACCGATCGAAACAATGGCATCAAAAGTTTGGGATGATCTTGTGTTGTCTCCTGGTTTTCTTTTGAACCACGCAGAAAAGTGTGTTTATAGCCAATTTGATACTTTTGATAAAGGAGTCATAAGTTGGCAACTACCAAGATCAGATAAATAAGACCAAAGAATTTTTGTCATCAAGTTTCTCCATGAAAGATCCAGGGGATTCGGATGTAATCTGGGGAATTAGGATTAAACATGGGAACAATGGGATATCTATGACTCAATCTCATTACATTGAGAAAATATTAAAGAAATTCAATTGTTAAAAGGCCCAAGTATTAAGCTCTTAACTAATGAAGGCAAGGTTGTGTCTCAAATTGAATACTCAAGAGCTATTGGCTGCTTAATGTATGCCATGGTTAGCATAAGGCCGGATATAACATATGTAACGCCCCAAAACATGGCCTAAAAGTTATTTTATAATAAAAGTATTTTTAAAACTATATTTTGGTACAACAATGTATTATTTCTCTCTTTGGCCAAAAATAAAGGAACTTTTCAAGTCAATGTCCTTTTGCAAAAACTGAGTTTTATGGATTGGTCTTGAAGAGACGAATCCAACGGTACATTTTATGAACAAATCTGATTTACAGATTATGAGTTGTGACATTTTAAAAATATTACGGAGTAAAAATGTAACTTGTATAAAATGAAGAAGTCATTAAATGATGTGAACTCTTGTAAAAAGATTTATTAAAATAAATCATTAGAATGAATAATATTAATTGAGTATGAGAATATTTTTATATATATGTCATTAAAATCAATTTTGACCTTTTCAAAGTCAAACACCTGAAAATATTATCTCAGAAAAATACTCCCTCCGTCCCCCTGTATTTGTCCACATTTGACTTTTGGAACTGTTCATCTTAGCACTTTGACTCATCAAATTCTCTCAATGTGTAAGCCTAAATATAGTCATGTGTGATCTTGTTTTATTTGTCTTAACATATAGATTATTAATATATAATTTTTATAATTTTTTAATATACAAATTACAAGATAAAATAGATTAAAGAAGTGCATTGGATGGTGTGCAAAAATGAAAGTGGACAAATACAGGGGGACGGAGGGAGTATTTCAGAAAAATGTGAATATTATAGAGTTACATAGAGTGAATGCCGATTGCAACAGCGCAATCGGATTTCAATTTGGAAACAATTGGACCAAATAGTGTACCCCAATTAAGATAGAATTAATCAAGACAATGGAGGAATTAAAATAATTTGTTGTCACCCCCACTAGCCGTCCAGCTGATCGAAGGAATCACCCAAATCCCCATTTCTGTACCATGATTTTAAACAACATTAGAACGCATAGAATGATCCTTGAAAATATTGATTCGTATATATTTGAAAGTAAATATTTTTATACTCATAATCACTAGCCTTGTTTTTGTTGTTAAATCTTCAAATAAATTGTTAAAAATGATCTATGGATATTAGAGAACCTTTCTTTATAGTTTGAATAAAGTTTGGCAACTTAAAATTAGTGTTTTGAATGTTTAGACCATTGAAGATAACAAAGTAGTGTACAAACCAGTACGCTGCGATAGGAATGATCGACTGTCGGGCAGGAACAGTCGACTGTTGCATGTCGAGTAAATCCCAGCGTCGCGGTGGCGGTAATAGTCGACCGTTGCTTAGAAACGGTTAACCATCTCAGATTTTTTTGATCAACCTATGACTATTAAATATTGTGATAAATTGAATATATAATATCGATGACAACTTTACCTTGATTAAATATCGATACATTCTTAACGTGAATAAAATGGGCTACATTGTAGATGTAATTGGGATTAGGGTTGTTCAAAATATTACCAATATGTTTGTATGACTAAAACATTGATGATTGGGATTATTGGATATTACTATGATAATGATTATGTTCCGAACAACTTAATGATAATGATATTGATTAATTGATTATTAAGGCTATCTAGAAGAACTCTAAGATAGACCCCATGTCACCAAATTAGTTAGGCCTTACGGATATGATATTTGGTGGCTCGGGTTAAAACGTACGTATGGGAACCATAAACCAGACTTGAATATCTATTTGTTTAAGGTACCACCCAGCCTCACAATTAGTAGTCCGTTGTTCTGTTTTCTGCCTTAAACTAATTGTACTTTAAGAGTCTGGTTATCAATACATTTTCCTTAAACTATTTATAGTTTAAGAGTCTGGTTATCAGTAAATTTTCCTTAACTAATCATAGTTTAAGAGTCTCGTTATCAATTAGCCTTAAATTAGTTATAGTTTAAGAGTTATCAATATGAATTAGCCTTAAACTAAGAATAGGTTAAGAATAATTATTTATGGTAAAGATTGATAATAAGTTATGTGTTCTAAATAATGAATATTGCGATAACTAAAATGACACTTAATTATTGTGAGTTGTGGATTGACATCTGTACAAATTTGAATAATGGATATTTCTGAATTGACTATTTTTTACCAAAGTAACAAACACAGTTTTAAATATGAAAAAAAGAATGTTTGAACAGATACATGTGATTGATATTGTGAAGGAAATTATTCTGTGAATTCATTTGTTGTGTCATGGTACCACTCAGCTTCATTGCTGAGCGTGTAGACTTTGTCATCTTTCTATACACGTAGGTACAAGAGAGAATAAATGTGGAGCCTGTCCTGAAGAATAATAAGATGCAGGTGATGTGTGGACATGTAAAAATTTACTATTTGAGTAAATAATTTTATCACATGTAAAATTATGGGTTGACCATACAGCTATAATTTGCAAATCACTTTTGCACTATTTTCAATAGTTATACTCCGATATTATTCCAAAATATTTTGCACAGTTGTTTTAAACAAAGTTTTAGATGTTTTAAGTCGTGATGTTACCAAGTTAATACTTTAGTCTGAAAGGGGCATACTGATACGTAATATCGGGATTGGGGAAGCTTCGAGTGCTCCCAAACTCCAGAAATTTAGGCAAAGAGAGAAAGAAAGAGAATCGGCGCTGGAGGCGGCCAAACCTCGTGTAGAGAACGAGAGAGATAGTTAGGGTTTTAGTTGTTTGATTGCATGCTTTCACAAAGTAGCGTACATCTCCTAATATAGTGGAGAGAAGCAAAACCCTTTAATCTTAATTACTA